CACACCCCCCCAGCTCTCCTCCTGGCCAGGAAGGCTGTTGCCAGCCTACTCCAATCCCCCTCTCACTCATCTGCTGCTCCCCACGAGCATCCCCTGCTCCCCGAGACCTGCTGCCCCAGAACGTGTTGCCACCCCATTGTCCCCCCAGGTGCTGCTCCCCACCCTGGGCCGAATGGAGGGTCCTGAGCTCCCCCCAATACATAGGTGTAGGCAGGTTGCCCCGAGAAGCTGTGGCTGCCCCATCCCTGGAGGTGTTCAAGGCCAGGTTGGACGGGGCTTGGAGCAACTTTGGGCTGGTGGGAGGTGTCCCTGCCCAGGGCAGGGGGGTAGGACTGGATGATCTTCGGGGTCCCTTCCAACGCAAACCATTCTATGATTCTATGATTTGCCTGCTAAACATGGAATTTCCGGACACCTCCTGTGGAGGGTACACACACAAGTTTTTGGCTTGGACACGTTCCCAGGTCCATGCTGGCCCAAGGTCCCACCGAAGGACAGGGCTGGGAGGAGCGGGGAGGTGCGAAGTGAAGGAGGAAGCACAGCACGACAAAATACATCTGTTCCCAAAGAAGGCGATTGATCCTTTTTAAGCCTTTTTTCCCCAAAGCAAACAAGCTGATGTGATTCATTCCCCACACTTTCATTTGCATGCCTCCGGCGCCTTTGAACCCCATGCCCAGTTTCATCCCATTACTCCTCACCAGCATCTCTGCGGGAGTGGTGGGAGATGCCAGACCTGCGGTCTCACCCTTGGAAAAACTTCAATCAAAGCCTCAGATTCTCTTCTGTGTCAGATCAACCTTTGAGCAGAGCCGTAGGAAACCAGGTTTCCTTATCGCAGCGCTACTGCAAATAAAACACCTTCCATTTCTGCCGCTACCTGGTCACTATGTGGGGCCGGTCCCTACTGCTGGCCCTGTGAGGACACAGAGGGGCAGGATGGGGCCCTGCAGGGGTGGCTGTGGGAGCAGATCCCAGATCACCCCCCCCCAGAGCCGCTTGGTCCCGCAGCTCCCACCAGCACTGAGGCCAAACCAGTAGGAAAATAGAGCTTTACTAGGGAAAGCAGCTTCGTACAAAGAGCAACCGCAGCACGGCACCCTCAAAAGTTGCTCTGCCACCTCTGAGAGCGGCAAGAGGGGACCAGGAGGGGCTGGGGGAGCTGGACCTGCCTGCATGTGGTGCTGGGGGAGCGTAGGGCTCCCTCTGCATTGCTCTGCAGCACCCCCCTCCGGGGTCCCCCTCACCCCAGATCTTCTCCAGGCTTGGGGGTTTTGGCAGGGATAGGAGAAAGAGGAAAAAAATAATTCTTGCACTCTCGTTATCCCCCTCCCTCACCCCATCTGCAGGGGCAGGCACCCCCACATGTCCCCACGCACAGCGACCGGGGCCTTCAGCCCCACCGCGAGGGCACGGCCCTTAGCTCTGCATCCTTCCCCCTGGCCCTAACCTCTGTCACCAGCGTGATATTTGCATATGCAAATCAGAGCAGGTTCATTTGCATGTCTGTGTAGGAGACCGCTAAGATGTCTCGATCAAAATGTCTCAAAAGCTGCTTACCATAAGCAGACGGGCCACATCCTGTTCATCACAGGAGCACCTGAAACTCGCCGAGCTGAGGTGCGAGATGTGCCACCGCGATCACCAGCCGCATCCTGTTTACCACAGGAGTACATCAGGAGCAACCATCTTCCAAGACCACCATGTTCCAAGAAAGATTGGCCGAGCAAAAGTGGCTTCTATACTGATTGATCATGCATGGAGCAGACTTTGACTATAAGTTCGTGCCATGTCCCTCTACAGACAGACCTCCGGAACCCCCACCGGCGTTGTGATCCAAGGATCGTGAGTCAACGGGACGCCACTGACGTCAGGGGACCGTCAGGACACTGAGGGTCAGTGGTGGTGGCTATACTCTTGCTGTGCTCCATAATACTGCTTCTCTCTTCTGCCTTTCCTCTACTTCCTCCTTTACTCTATCACTCATTTCAGTAATCATTGCGGGGAGATAACAATAAGGTTTAGCAGATGGCATCTGACCTCATTTGTGTCAATCTCACGCGTGGAATTGTTATGCGTCCTCCCAGACCCCTCACATCCCAGACCGGGACGTGCAGTCTGTCCTCATCAGCTCTTGTTAAAAGACTGCACCCCGCTCCCACCTGGGCATCGGGGTCCCACTCGCACCGTGACAGTCCCGGCTGCAGCTCGACTGCGGCACCAGCCTGGGGCTCGCCGGCACGGCTAATGGAGTGGTGCGGCACCTCCAGTTGATTCCCACTGGCACAGCGTCACCGTTCGCCCCTCGCACAGCCAAAAGACAGGGTAGAGGGGCTCGGTGAAGACATTGTGGAAGGAGTGGATGAGCTGCGTCCTCTCCCCGAGGCCGTAGAAGGAGAGGAGCCCCTTGCCGTAATCCAGGCTGACCCCCAGGTTCTTAAACAGCCGCTCCTGGATTTTCTCCCTCTGGCCCTTGTGCCAGGCCAAGTAGCAATCCTCCCGCACCTGCAGCCCCCACGAACCCCCATCCAGCCCGATGTTGAACTTGTGGCCCTGCTGCCGCTCCCAGGGGAGGTTGCGGTAGGTCACCCCCAGGACGACGGAGTGGTTGGAGACCTGCACCTCCCAGTAGTGGTGGCCGTGGCCATAGCCCTGTGTGCACAGCACCTGCCAGGGCTCGAAGCGGGGTCCCTGCTCCTCCTGCCCACAGGCAGCCTCGGCGCCGTGCCTGGCTTTCCGGTTACTCTTCGACAGCTCCAGGTACTTGTTGGCCGTCTTGGGATCGAAGGTCAGGTTGCGGTGGTCTAGGAAGAGCAACGACATGGATGGGGCTGAAATGCTTCATCAGACATTTACACCCTTGGCATGAGCTCCCCCCCAACGGTGAGGCAGTTTAAACTGCGTAGGGCTGGCTCGCAAAACAGGAGGGAACAAGTCAGAGCGTGTTGGGAGGGGAAGGGGAGCAGGGTGAGATGAGATATCTGCCCGGCCGCCTACTCGAAGGAACAGGAACAGCCCAGAGATAGCTGGCGAGGCACCGAGACGCGGCGCTTCCCGCAGTCCTTGCACAGCCCAGCTCACAGCCAGCACGCCGCGCTGGCTCCGTGGTTGCTTTGAAAGAAACGTGCTTGATTTTAAAAGCAAAAAATACGAGCATGGGTGGAGAGAGGGGGAGGAAAACAGGCATTACGTCAGCAAATATGGTACTGCAGGGAGTTACTGTCCTCTGCATGGGCTGCCACAACTCCCCCTGCCACGGGCAGTCACTGGCCACCGGCACCCCACCTTCCTCCTGCAACAACCCAACCCATCCAGCTATGCTGAGCTCATGCCTGGCGCTCATAAATAACTTTTTTTTTTTTTTTCCTATTAACAATCCTGAAAGCATTCTGTGGGGCCCGATGGAAGGAATCCTTACAGGTCCCAGAGGCATCGATTGCCTCCCTGGCAAGAGTGACGCTACCAGCGTGCCCCAAACGTTATCCAAGCCTCTTCCCAACAGGGAGGGGGTGGAAAAAGGAGCGTTGAGGAAATCTGTGCACCCAGGGAGGGAAGGAGACACGAAGGACTTCAACTGGGACCACTGGGGCCGTACCCCTGGGTAGAGAGCAATGACTGCAGGCAGAGCTCTGGGCTGGTGCTGTGCGGCGTGGGACGGCTTGGGACATCCCTGCAGGCGCTCGCTCGCCAGCTGCTGACGCTGCCCGCAGAAAAGTGCTGTCTAAATATGGGTCGTCAGGAACAGGCACGTCACTCCTGCCCGGGTGAAACGCCTGAGGCAGGTGAAAAGGAGAGGATGGAGATGGGGCAAGATCTGGGGCAGCAACCGGCCCAATGCAGCTCCAGTTCCCACAGGAAAGCAGTCCCTGGTGCTGCTAACCCCTTAAGGAGCCCTTTCCCACCCACACAGTGTCCCCCAGCTTGTCTGCCCTGGCCCTACAACACCCTTCTCCACGTTTAGGGAGAGGAATTAGGAGAGCCGGGAAAGGAGCCCCCTTCACCGCAGCCATGACATCCTCCTCCCAGGGAAGAGCTCGGCTTGGTGAGACCTCTGCTTGCTGGGCACCCCAGTGGGGTGCTGTTCCCCCAGTCCCCCATGTGCTCCTCACCCTTCAGAAGCTCAGCTCGGAGTTGGCACTCAGGGAGAGGGGCCACCACCTTCACCGCCGGCCCCGCGGGCTGCACCGTGCCTGTGAAGGATGGGGACAGACATTTTGAGTGAGGGCACCCAAAAACTTGTCCCTTCCCAGTTTCAGTGGAAGGAGGAGGAGGAAATCCATTGTATCCAAGTCTGGGAGTGGGCATGTGCCACAGCGGCTCGGCATTGCCAGCAAGGAGGGGGCACAGGGAAGCCACACAGCTCTTCCCACCCCATTGATACCCATCTGCTGAACAGTAGATGCATGTCCCCATCCCAACACCCTGTGCCCAGCAGATGTGTCCCCAGCACGGTGACACCGGCCAGGCTGTGGTTCAGGGTGACCTGGAGCCCTTCAGGGTGGCTCTGTGAGCAGAGGGCTTACCTTGGCCAGCTGGGTCTGGGGCTTTGGGGGCCACAGCGCGGGGCAGGTCCTCCAGCAGGAGCCTGGAGACATCGGTGAGGATCTCAGTGACGGGTTTGACCATGCTGGCTGCATCGAACTCCATGGGGAGCGGCACCTCTGGGTTCTCCGGAGATGGGAGCAGGGGAAACTCCTGTGGATGGACACACAGACACCCATGCACTGGCCTAGGGGGGATCGGCACCTCCAAAACCCATCCACGCACACCGCATCTCCCCGGTGGGTAATGGGGGCATCCTCAAAACATCTGCCATTAGCTGCGGCTGGCGCACAGGGTCAGGGGACAGTTGCAGGGGGAGCGTGAGGCTGTGGGGAGCAGAGGGGCTGTGGCACAGGACTTTGCATTTTGCTGGCGGTGGAAGAGCCTTGCTGAGCAGTATGGGGGTGGGAGATGCTGCCCATGGCCTCGTGGGCAGCACTGTCCACTCTGATCCAGCATCAGCTCCCCCGGGTTTTCAGTACCTCCACACGAAAGCAGCTCTTCTCTACAGCCCCAGGCCATCGTCCCTGAGCCAGGCTCAGGATGCGTCCCCCCTGGGGATGGGGCTGACCACATCTCTGTCCTCACCCAAAAGCGCGTGGTGATGGCCACTGGATGGGATGGTACCTGAAGGAAGGTCCTGTGGTTGGGGCAGGCCAGCAGGTGCTGAGCCTTCTCCCTGTGCTGACCCAGGACATCCAGGCGGTCCTTCAGGAGACTCCAGCCCTCCTCCATGCGCCCCAGCGCTGCCGCCTGCCCTTGCTCGATACTGGCCACCGTCTGCCACTGGCAGTCCTCCAAGGCTTTCTTCAGGAGGGTGAATTTGCTCTGAATCACCGATTTGAGCCTCTCAGAGGAGTCCTGGGTGGGGAAGAGCTGTGAGAGCCAGCAGACTCCCACCCACATGCCCAGCATGGAGGTGGCTGCATTGTTACCTTGATGCTGCATGTTTGCTCCTCCAGCTTCTGCATCACCTGCTCAATCCTCTCCGATTCCTCCTGGGCTTTTTCCAGGGACTCTTTCAAAAGGGCCTGCAAAGGGAGGCACCAACGTCCCATGCTGCTGCCTGCCCAGCGCCCAGGAGCCCTCCCAGGGCTGCAGGACAAGGCTTCCAGGGAAGGAGAAGGCTTGGGAAGGGGAGAGACTGTGACCAGGGCCACTGAGAAGTGAAACCCTGTGCTGTCTTTCACCCATTTCTAGCTTTTTCCTCTAGATCATGGGGTCACAAACATATGGCACCGTTCATCTGGTGCTGCTGGATTTAGCCATCTCCCTGCTGCTCCTGACAGCCCATGGTTCCTTGGGGAGCAGCCGGGCACTGGTGGGATCTCCCTGGCCAGAGCCCATGCCAGCCTCCTGTTCAGCTGAGGCTGGACACAGCTCAGCACGTGAAAGCACATCACGTCCCCACAGCAGGGCATGGGACACCAGAGATGGATGTCCTGCCATGCCCGAGCTGCCATTCCTCCCCCTGCTCCTGCCCCAGTCCTGCCACCCATCATCCCCACCTGCTTTTTAGAGCGCTCCTCCTCGAAGAGCACCCGCCGGTGCCGCTGGCACTGCCGGACAGTGCAGACGCAGCAGATGCACCGCCGCTCATCCTCGCAGTACAGCTCCAGCGGGCGCCCGTGCTGCGGGCACAGCTCGCCGTGGGCCACATCACTCCTCTCTCTGCCCGAGACCCGCGCCTCGCCATCCCGTGCCAGCTCCACCACGCTGCACAGGGTGACGTTCTTCTCCAGGTATGGGCACTGCTCGAAGCCCCTGCGGCACTCAGGGCACGTGTAGCCCTTCTCAGCCCCGGTGGGCACCTGCTCTTGCTTCTGCCAGTGGTTGTTGATGCAGTCCTTGCAGAAGTTGTGCCCACAGGGCAAAGTCACGGGCATGCTGAACAGCTCCAGGCAGATGGAGCACACCAGCTTCTCCTCCAGCTTCTGTGAGACGGGCGATGCCATCCTGCTTGCACCAGGGATCAGGGCGATGGGAGAAAGACGCCGGCCAAAGAAGCCGGGGAAATAGAAACTTGGCTGTGCAGAGGAGGAAGACACAGTGACGCAGAGCACAGAGGCGGGTCAGGGCTCCGAGCCAGGCATGCTCTTAAAGAGACACCCAGTGGGTGCCCCAACGGCCCCGCTGGCTGTGCCACACGATGGGAAGACGATGGGGAGGGTTGGAGCTGCCCCCCCGCCCAGGGACAGGGAGCACTGGGAAGCAGAGCAGAAGGACGCGGAGAAGATGAAACGCTGCAGCGACAGCACAGGGAGGTATGTGCAAGAGGCTGACAAGGTTCAGAACAACACGTATTTCCACGAATGTGTTTGCATGAGTTCACATACGATGTAGAATCTGATTTCACTCCTTTTTTGCCCTTTGAAAGAACTTCCTGACATCCTCACCTCTGCCAGTGCTGGGTCCCCAAGCAGAGGGTGGCAGTCCTCCCTGGCAGACAGACCTCACTAGAGTGCTCCTGGCCTCTGCCAGCCTGGGAACCAGCAGAGAGGGGCATCCACCACTGCTGCAGCCACTTGTCACCTCCCTCTGCAGTGACAAGGGCTGTGACACATGCCAGCGGCCGCCCAGGGCCGCATTCTGCCTTTGCATCTTTCCATTTTAAACTACAGCTCCTGCTGTTTGCACATGCCCCCGTGCACACCCGCCACTCCTTTTCCAGCTAAGTTCCTTGCAACACGCCGTTCACATCTGCACTCCAAAAGGCAAGAAAGACATTATCTGGGCAATGGGTCCCTGCTCAGGTGGCAGGTGGAGGCGATTGTGGCGCCCGTGCGCTGCATACCTTCGCCTTGTCTTCATACAGTTTAGTTTCAGAAAAAAATGCTCCCAACCTCCAAGTCCAAACCTTACCTCCTTACCCTTGCAGACGTGCTATCGCTTGCTCACTCGCTCCCAGGCAGCTGAGCGCCGGCAGGACGGCCTCGGCTTACAACGGTTCTGCAGCCTCCCCACACGCGGCGCTTCGCTTTCACCTGCGCAGGCGAAGGGGAGTGGGGAAGTCTGTGTTGCAGCCGGGATGCTCACCGGAGGGTCAGAGCAGGCTTGGAGCCACCCCCAAGACTGCCCCTGGACCCAGGAGGTGACGAGACCTGTCACAACTCCCTCCCCAGTAACGCTTCACCCCCCCCCCCCCCAACATTTCTTTGAGCTGAATCTGCAAATTCTGACCAAATATTCAAAGCTCAGAGAGGGGCATGACACAACCTGAGTGTCTGCCTGGAATCGCAGGACACTTGCACTCCCACTGTGGTCACCTCACCAGTTAATTAACCCCAGCTTAAACCAGACCCCAGAACCCTTCGGAGCGGGAGGAGAGTTCAGAGAGCTCGGGAGTAGCTGGTAACGGCCCTGAGCAACCACAGCAGGAGGGGTGTTACTGCACAATCCCAGCTGTTTGCTGAAGGCTCTTATTTCCTGAGGATGTGCGGGAACCTCAGAAAAGTTACTGGGAACCAGAGCTGGGAACAAGCAGCAGCAACAGCAGGGACATGTTGGTATTTGGGGTTTTAAACATGTGAATAGGGGATATAAGAAGAGCCCTGCAGAGCACAGCAGAAAGCAGAGTCTCTCCGCAGCTTTGGGTACAGGACTGGCAGCAGCAGAGTGCCAGGCCACCACCGCACATCTGCCCCAATCCCAGCAGCTCGGCAGATCTGCTTTTGCTCCAACTATCCACACCGGGTACATGCTGTCCGGGGAGCACGGGGAAGGAGGCTGAGGTCCTCATGCTTGGGTAGCTGCTAGGAGAAGCCAGCTCCACAGGTAGCTGCACCCCTCCTGGCCTAGAACACCTAAGAGGGGAAAGAGAGCCTGGGGAAAGGGCTGTCCCTCTCCCCTGCACCCTGCTTGAGCTCCCCAGCTCTGCCCCAGCTGGCAGGGATACCAAGCTCTCCCCAATAAAGACAAGGCAGTGCCACCAGCGTCGCTCAGAGTGTGTTTAATCAGACCCATGTCTTTAAGAAGACTGTACAAATGGAAGCCAACACAGTCATGAATCACAGTACTGTAAGGAGAGGAAATCCAGACTCGCCTGGCTCTGCTTGTTCCATAAACAGGCAAAACCAGAACATGATACTTTGAGAGAAACAAGGGAGGGCATCTCTGGAGGACTCTACCCTGCCACCCTTACTGATCAGCTCTGCTACAGAATCAGTAGCAAGATTTCAGCCTGGCCATAGATTTCCTTTCATTTATGAACCTCCTTTTTAAGTACCCTTTTGACCACACAGCTGCCAGCACTGTGAATGCCTGTTGCCCCCAGCTGCACAATTCCTAGCAAAGGGGAGGCGGGAGCCGAGGGGCTGAGATTTTGTCGTTTCCCTCCAAAGGTGCAGACAGCTCCCAGATGCACCACCGTGTGAATGCGGGGAAGCTGGCAGCCCCGTCTGCCTGGCTGGCATCGCAGCGTACACCAGAGCTCCTTGGGAGGAGGCCAGGCCCCTAGTAAATGCCGTAGGTGGGTTCCTTGGTGTCTCGGTATCTGTCCAGGTACCTCAGAGGCTGGTGGCGTGGGAACTTTAACTGTGGAGGATGGTAAACAGGCGGCCGCACAAATTGAAACACAGGCTCTCTCATATCTGTAAAGGGGTGATACAGAACGTTAGCAATACGGCTCAGACCCAAACCCCAGGCCCTCTCCTCCACCAGCAAGGCCCCCCCCCCCACACACACACATGGTCAAGCATGCCCTGGTGAAGGCTCTCTTGGTGATATTTTAAAATGTTGATTCCAAATGGCCTTTTAGAGGTTGTCTGCTCAGACTGCTGTTAGTTTGGTGGAGGATGGCTCCATTAGTACCCGATCTGTGCTGTAACAGATCCTAGATAAGTGCCAGGACCAAGCGAGAGCCTACAGCCACAGCTCACTCACTGACCCTGGGCGTTACCCACAGGGCCACGTCCCAGCCCACAGATGGGACCCCTCCAGCCCCACTGCGCGCTGCATTTCTTACTGAGAAGCTGATGGAAGACCAAAGTGACGGAGCTGTCCCACTGACACTGGAAAAATGCCAGCCCTGCCGGGGTCATTGCATCCTCGTGCTTTCTGTAGAAGTCAAACGTGCTGAAGGTTCGCATCTTGAGACTGTGGCTGGAAACAAGACACAAGCACAAAAGCTGAGGTGAACCTCTTCCTGCAGCACTGTGGTAGGCAACTACTTCCCCGCATCATCATACAGTCTATAAAATAGAGGTGGAAAAGGAAGTCACTAAAAGAAAATCTCCTAGCTTCTCCAGCTCTGTGCACATTTCTGCCCCAGGCAGGAAAAAACACTCTCTTAACAACCTTGTTTAACGCAACAGGACTCCACAGTGCTGGCAGGGCTGGGACTGTGGCTTCAGGTGACACACAAACTTAAAGCAGCCCGGCAGATTAAAAGGAACTGCTCTCCTACGGCAGTAATAAACGTGTCATCATAAGAAGCAATAACAGCCTAGCCAAGCCAGTGTGAAACTGCCTAGTGAAAGCCCAAATTACCATGGCGTTGGCCGAACATCCTCGCTGAAATCTATGGGGCAGTCTTGCTTGAAGAGGAGGAAGACGAAGCGATGGTAGCCAGTTCCCATGGCAGGGAAGGGGGGTAAGTAATGGCAGATCTCTTTACCCGACTTGATATTGTTGCCTGGGATGTTCGTCCTGAACACAAAGAAGTTTATTTCATTATACATCCATTCACTTCCCTCCCATGGCACCAGCAGATTCACCCAGGATTGCAAGTCACCCTGTGGTACGTTTTGATGTGATTATACCCTGTTTGACAAGTAGAAGATGTTTTCACTGGAAGAAAAATCACACCCAGTGATGTGAATGCCAAATAGCAGCAACACCTGGAACTACTGCATCTTTAGCAGGACCCAGAACACAGGGAGAAAGAAGCTAATGGCAGAAGCATCAGAGAAAGCCATGGAACTGCCTCATTCCTGAGCACTGTTGGAGGAATTTCTGCCTTCTCTGCCTGGGCTTTCCCTGAGCTAAGCAGCGTGCAGCTCTGATCTACAGTACTCACACCAGCCAGTGGAGGTACTCCGAGTCTGTCTCTCTTAAATGTCCATCTGCAAACACACACAACAGAGAAAGGCGACTTAGTGACAACCTGGTGTTCGCATCAACCCCAAAGTGAGAAGGCCCAGGCCTCTTTTGAACAGAGACCTCCCAGCATTCCTTTCCTAGCAGAAAAGTGACTCATTCTTATAGGATTGAGCTTAAAATGAAGAGCAAAGAACTCTACAGATGTAATTCTGAGCTTAAAAGGGCTTCTTGGTCAGCTACTTCACTTCACTGTGCCTTGGTTTCTCAGGGCAAACAGCGTCAGCTAACCTACCTCCCGGGCAGATTGCCAAGGGAGAGAAGAGTTCGGGGGTAAACAAAAGGTAGGAGTCAGGGAATTGCTTCCACTACACTCTGACATAGGTCCTGTTGCATCACTGTCCCACCTCTCAACTGCTAGAGATTTAGGGAGACTACAATCTTTCCTGCATATGTAATACATCCCCACTTAGAAGATACTGCGCAGCCGAAAGAAACAGGAGCTACCCAAAAGCAGAGCGAAACAACCCCCTTTAAACGAGTTATTTTAAAAGAACCTTCTACTTACCTGGATTTGTGAGCAACAAAGTCCAGAGGGAGCCTTTATCTGCCTCATATGACACTGCAGGGGGACTGGAAGCCTAAATGAACAACATAAGGAGAATGTAAATCATTCGGACAACATATTCCATTAAGACCGGGTCATGATTTCCAAGGCAAAGAATATCAACTTGTCATGGCCACAGCCATGCCACAGAGTAATCCAGCTCTACCTGGAAAGCCCCCCGGAGCATTAATAAACATCAGCCTGCTGATAGACAACAATCCTGTTGCCAAGCTCTGTCCTTATCACACCCAAGAAACATGTTTCCTTCATCAAAGAGGAAATATCCTTGCAAAAGAAATCCCCCAGAATGGA